GCCATTCTCCTGCCTCAGCCTCCCGAGTAGCTGGGACTACAGGCGCCCGCCACCTCGCCCGGCTAGATTTTTGTATTTTTTAGTAGAGACAGGGTTTCACCGTGTTAGCCAGGATGGTCTTGATCTCCTGACCTCGTAATCCGCCCGTCTCGGCCTCCCAAAGTGCTGGGATTACAGGCTTGAGCCACCGCGCCCGGCCCTCACTGCGTACTTTCAGTGAGGCTTTTCACACCATTATGAAGTAGGGACTGTTGTCCCCAGTTTTACACTTAAGGAAACAGAGGCACAGAGAGGTGAAGTGACTTGTTGAGGCTGGTAGGTCTGCTTGGAGAGTGTCATGAAAGAATGCCCCAAAAAAGGAGGTTATCATTTCAACATCTTGAGGGGAAGTTGTAAACAGGGGAAGCAGCACAGCAAAGAGGGAAGAAGAGTGAGAAAAGTGTCTTCATCCTCTTATTATCAGCATAACATTGGGAAAGTCATCTTGCCTTATTAGATCTCAGTGTTCACACCTGTGAAATGGGGATAATATTAAACACTTCGAAGGGCTGTTATAAGGTGATGTGTAAAGCACCCATCATGGGACTGGGCCCCTGGAAGATTCTCTCCTTCCCTCTGTGAGCTTCAGCCTTTTCAATTAAAATGGACCCAGCAATTATCAGGATCATCATGAGGATTAGATTAGTTAGTTGAAAGATCAGCACTCTAAAGCCCAAGCTACTGTGAAGTGTTGTCATGAGGACAGTAGGATGGAGGTCTGGTTTTGTTTGGGAGTGTTGCAGGAGTAACCTAAAGCCACTTCTACTTAATTATCCTTCAATCAGAACTGCCTATTCCATGGGTCAGACAACACGGCTCCGAAACAGAATTACATGCACAATAAAGCCTAATCCTCAGGACATAGACTCGTAGTCTACTAAAGCTAAAAGGAAACTTTAGACCATCTGGTCTAAGCCTCTCATTTTATGGAAACTGAGGGCCAAGGCTTGGGAAGTAACATGCCACATGCCACTCAGCAAGTACATAGCAGAGCAGGACCTTGGCCAGTGCCACCTCCCAGGCTCGGGCCCTTTCCTGTCCACCTTCCTTAGTGACACCCTCTGTGGTCCTCAAAACGGAGACCGGTTGAGTAAGGACAAAGCAGAGACTACCTTGACAATCCTTTGAGTGTTCTTAGTCCTATGCAAAAGCAGAACTGGGGCCCTGTACTTCTCTGGGGAAAACAGACACAATTCCCTTTCTGTCCTGCCCTTAGTCATTTCCATCATTCCAGAGCACCAGTGGAAGCCTCCTTCAGATTCTGCTGGGACTGAGAGAAGGAGGTTAGGGGGCAGAGCTCATCCAAAACAGGTGTGAGGAGAGGCTAACAGCAAAGAATGTGCCTGGCCGTAGTTTCTGCTTTCATTTGCCTAGATCTGAGCTGTCTAATATGTTAGCCACTGGCAAAGTGGCTACTTACATTTGCATTACATTTCATTAAAATGAAATAAAATTTAAAATTCAGTTTCTGAGTCGCACTAGTCACATTTCAAGTGGTCAGTAGCCCCACGTGGCTAGTTCCCATGTTGGACAGCATGGATTATGGAGTTTCTATCCATCATCACAGAAAGTTCTGCTGGAGAGCACTCTCCTAGAATGTTCTCAGAGCCTACAGAAAGTGAAGGGAGGAGCAGTTGGGATGACCTGTAAGATTAGGGTGTGGATTTGGAGAAAAATACATAATTCTATTACAAGGGGATGGGATGGGAGAGAGAATGGATGACCCAGGCCAGAGACAAGGTATAGATCACTGTGGTAGCTGAATAATGGTCCCCAAGACATCCACATCCTATTCCCCAGAACCTGTCAATGTCCCTTTTATAGCAAAATGGACTTTGGAGATATGATCAAGTTAAGAATCTTGAGATGAGTGGTTGCCTTGAATTACCTGATCAGGCCCTAAATGTAGTTGTAAGTGTCCTGATAAGAGGGAGGAAGAGAAAAATTTGGCAATAGAGGAGAAGGTAGCAATGTGACCACAGAAGCAAGATGCTATGCTGCTGGCTTGGAAGATGGAGGAAGAGGCCAGGAGCCAAGAGGTGTTAGGATGCAGCTCTAGAAGCTGGAAAAGGCAAGGAAGTGGTTCCCCCACTAAAGCCTCTAGAGGGAGGGAGTGCGGCCCAGGGAAACCAGTTTCAGACTTCTCACCTCCAGAACTTTAAGAGAATAAATATGTGGTTATAAGATGCTAAGTGTGTGGTAATTTTTTTTGCAGCAGTAGGAAACAAATACAACCACCAACTGACGCGTCACCGAGGTGACCCCCAATAGCTCTGTGTGGCAGGAAAGGGAACATTCTAGAGGGCGAGCCAAACCTCCCTGCAGGAGGGACCCAGGGTGAAAGGGACATACCTCAAGATGAACTATAATGAGGAGAGGCGTCCCAAGGGGAGATCTGCTTCAGCAACTGAGTTCTGGGGCTGAGGCGTGACCCAGGGTCCAAGACCCTTAGGAAGCGTGCCTCTTCTAGAGACACCTAGGGCGCTCTGAGGGGTCCTGGATTCCTATCTGGGAGAGTCCATCCTCTCATCTGTCAGATGCAGCCCAGAGCAGAGCCATGACCTGTCTCTGGTTCATCATTAGTGAGCAGGCAGGGCTAGGGCCAGAATCTAGGTCTCCTCCCTCACAATGGAGTCCCTTTCCCACTAGTGCCTGCTCTTCAGCAAATGGGAAGGAAGGAGCTCAGCTCCACAGAGGCAGGACCACCAGGGAAGACTGCAGGAGGCCTGGGCAGCCTCATGAAGAAATGCTTCACCAGGAGTTACAAACGGCAGCATGGAATCCTCGAAGTGGGGCAATGTGGGACTTCACCTGTTGCACAATATGAGACTGTTTTTCCCTGTCTCCTCTTTTCATACAACTTCCTTTTCTCACCCTGGGCCCAGAGATCTGGAATCTGCTCATTTGACGTTCCAGTTGAGGTTTCTCCCGCTTTCTGGGTGGGGGCGAAAGCCAGAACAGACAAAGCAGGACACTCGAAAGGAACTATGGATTATGGAGCAATCTCTAGACATCTGGCCTGTCTTTCTGCTCCTTGCAGTGCCTGCCTCCCCCAGCTCACTCTCCAGATGGGAGTCCATTTCCTTATGTACATGTTCCTTTAGGACACGTTCATGCAAACATGTCCTTATCCCCCATCCCACCTCAACCTGGAACTCTCCATCGTGCTCCCATTGACACAGGCATTTTCCTCCAAGGAGGCCAGGAGCCGAGCAAGCCGAGGCAGGGACCAGTTCGAGACCAGTCTGGGCAAACATAACAAGACCCTGACCCTATGAAAAATGTCAACATAAGCTGGGTGAGGTGGCACATGTCTGTAGTCCCAGCTACTTGGGGGGTTGAGGCTGGAGGATTGCTTGAGCTCCGGAGGCAGAAGTTACAGACAGCTGAGATGATGTGACTGCACTCCAGCCTGGGCGCTAGAGCAAAATCCTGTCTCAAAAACTAAAAAATAATAATTAAAAAAATACAAATAAAAAACAATGCAGTATAACAACGATCTACATTTACATTTATTAATAGCATTTACATTGTTTATGTATTCTAAGTAATCTGGAGATTAAAGTATATGGGAG